CAAATAACCGATATTGTCCTAATTTGAAAGCTTTTTACTTTTTTTTTAAAGTTATTATTATATGTTGTCATTTATATAAATTTGACTTAATTTTTCTTTGTGAGGTTTACATTGTATGTGGCAATATCTTTCATTAACCAGTTATGATTTTAATCGGTTTTTTAATACATTAATTCTATGTAAAAAATGTTAAAAATGTGTCGCTTAATAGTTGAAAATATCTACTCAAACACGTGTGTCGATATTCGTTTGATTTTGATTGCAAAATAAAATCATGTTATAACAGCTGGTTAGGGTTATTGATTTGATTGTTCCGTGCTGGAATTCCGCGTGACCATAGATGCCTTATGATTGTCTAAAACCACATAATTTTTATCTATGCGAATTGCCAATTATTGACAAACATTGTTTAGCATTGTAATGGAACCAAACCCACCGATATAGAACCTAAAATGATCCTTTTCAGGGTCACCGAATGTTACTAGGCGAAAGGCCGGCCTCGCCTAAGTCCGCCTGCACGTCCGGTGATATTCATATCGACCAATGGTACAAATGGACATTTAGTCGACCAATCAGGTTTCGAGGTTGTTCTGAAAATAAGTACAAATACTTGGGCATTTCGACAGCACGTCTCACCTAAGCTGGATTTGCGTGGGCCTCAAACATATCGGACAGTCAATGGAGAAAACAATCAATCAAAAATAATACGGATCATAACCGACAGTCACTGGTTTGTAAGCAATCAAACCGTTAGAAAACCCGCAAACAATATATCAACTCGGAAACCTTTAAAATTTATATATTGTACTATGAGTTACCCAAACATCAAAAATCAGTACAATGACCTCACATAAAGAAAAATACACCAACGGACCAATATCATTCTAAATCCCAAACACCAACACACGTAAAATCATGAATACTTACTAAGAAGTTCAAGCTTAAAGCAGAAGAAATGAATAAGCTAATAAATAAGCTAAGCAAAAACAGAACAGCACATCATCAGTTCTTTTCCTATCGCCAAAGACACACGTCTATCCAGGGGTGGATCTATGGGAGGGTTCAGGTCAGTTGACCCATAGTTAAAATAGTTAATATTTGTTGACAAAATCGGTGTCTTAAAGACTTCTTATATTTTTCAAGTGTGCCGACTATAGGTCGAAATTAATACTAAACCAAGAAAAATGCCCCAGTTGCCATTCTCCAAATGACACCACTGGTATAGTACAGTGAAACATCTCCAAGCCATGTATATCCTCCATAGAATTAAATAAATGTGATTGTTTTCACCGAGAATTATGAATTAAAATAAATACACATATTATATGATCTTGTAATTTTTTTTTTTTTTGTTTGTCACAAGGTTACATTTATAATCCAGTTTCAGCCCTAATAATTGGCCTTTTGAAAATAACTTGACCCACAGTTCTCTAACTGTGGATCCGCTCCTGAATCTATCGACGGTATGGGAAGGGAACCTCCACCGAACGGCATACGACGGCCGAGATACTATACGAGACGGCAATTGATCAGTGGCCATCGAATCTCAACTTGTACCTTGTAACATTTAGTCACGGCTACCGACCGCCAACAACGACATCTGCACACGACCACGGCTGGCGCCTACCCTCAAGGGCTCGGGCTGGGCGTTCTAATATATGTGTGCGTTGGCCGTGTAGGGATCGTAAGCGTGCGGATACGTGGGTACATTACAGCAAGTGAATTGTAATCGCCGACCTACGGACACCATTGTAACACTGAATCAATCCTTTTTATTATTATACACTTGTTATCTTGTTTTATTACAATAAATCCAACTAGCTTGCGACCTAACGGTGTTTGGTTGTTCCGTAACAGTGTCCCGCCTTATTCATCGGTTTTTATTTCATGTTTATAGTGTAACATACTTGTATGTTATCAAAATATTCGTTATTGAATTAATCTTAAGCAAATTCTTATTTCGCTTCGGAGGCTCAAAGTACACCTGACGCGATCGCAAGGTGCATTACTCTGCCGTATGATATTGTATAAAATCAAAAGCGTCAGTTTGAAACGATCAATTTAATAATCCGCTTTGGTACCAGCACACCTATCTTACACCACCGCAACATCGTGTCCGTCCCACCATTTTTCAATAAATGTCTGTGCTGGCACGCGCGTCACAGTCCTGTAGCCTCGTCGAGCTAACAATAGAAAGTTAAGTGCGCACTGCTGATCAGTTGGCTAACGAAATTACTGAGCTCAGGCCGTATTGGAATCTAAAACCGAATGAAATATTACCATGCAATTCGAATTTTTGGCCATAAATCACGTGGGGCAAGATCGAAAGTCGGACGGCGCGATACCGCCATCACGCGAGTACGATCATACAGGTAATTATTAGCGGACTAATGGCAGACTAAATAGCAATGTTCGCGCGCGCTTTCGAAAATATGATTACGGGTAAACACCCCTTTCGTACCGTCGGGTCAATGCGTAGTACCGGGATCGATGTTTTTCGGAACAATATCACGTGCACGCCTGTATCCCTACCTCCCGCTAACCTACAAGAGCTCCTAAACAATAACGCTGGATTTTCGTAAGTATTATAATAAGTAAGTAGTATAATATCGTTACACCGAGATTTCAAGTGCGGTTAATACAATACGAGTATTATCGACTTGTTTTCATACGAACGATAAACATCCCGCCGCACCGCGTCCGTACCTCGACCATAATCCGGCCCAGAGTGTCGATTTTGATCCTGTAACCCTTTAGTCCAGTTCCATTCGTGTAAGACATACCCGAAAATACGTTGAGAGCAGGACAAATCGTACACGGATCGTAAAAATATTATATTGTTGTCATTCCAATTGATTATCGGCCGTCATTGACGAATACCGCACGAACACCTTTGAGGACGATAGAGAATAATAATCATAGAAATAGAATTTATGATTTAAGCGTTTTATCGTTTAGCTGTAAACGACCAAAATCTGAAGGAATCCGAAAACACGTTTCATGTCTACCTAAATGTCTCCAAAAATAAATATATAATATTATGCAACCATTCTAGAGAAAATATAGGCACAGCTTACTAAAGCATTTAAAATTGTGTAGGACAAGAATTTTAAGAGCTTAACTTAAACAGTTATAATTAATATGCGAGAGTATTAAGTTCCTAAAAATTAATAAAATAAATAAACAATATTATAGTTTCACTTCGGGCGATAAGATTTCATATTATTATCAAAAGTAATAGGTGCCTATAAAATTGGCCCAAATTAAAACGAACGTGTAGTCGAGATTTCAGTGGTTTGCTACTATAGCCGAATAATATTACAACCATAGTAAACTAGTTTGCATCGTGTATCGAATATCGTAGGCAGTGCAGGATTAAATATTTGTGGGCCCCTAGGCAATTAAAATGTTGGGTCTTACAAAATAATTTTTTTACATACATTTTTAACATTACTATCCGATAATTAAAGTAAACAGCTTTAATAATAACCAACTATTATTAATAAACAATATCGTGTTTATTGAATTTTTTTATTTGCAAGAAAAATGAATAAATTATTATATTATTTCTATTTTTTTCAAAATAACTGTATTATTACTGCCTATAGCGCCTACAACTTAATATATATATTTTATTTCATAATGACTTGTCCTGTAAATTCGTAAATAAAATACTTGTATTATTAAATAAAAAAAAATATAGTTTTCCGTTTTCACAGGGCCCCTTCAATGAGCGAGGCCCTAAGGCAGGGGCCTATTCCGCTTAATCGGTAATCCGGCACTGATAGTAGGTAATAATCGTCCATCGATCGTGCGTTTTAATTTAAAAATTGTTCGATATATAGTAGGCGGTGGCGGCGGCGACCGATGTGTAATTACGTGTCTAATATTGACATAATCGAATGTAATTTATCACTGCAGTTCACCGCTCGGATACTGCTATTATACACGTGCACACACATTCAATACGAGCTATTTCATGACCTCAACAACTTAAAACGCTTAAATATGTACCTAAAAATATGAAAACCAGCGAAAACGCTAATTTTTCTTTTTACTTCTTCTGTTAACATTACTTAAAAAATATTTAACTCGTTTAATAACTATTTATGTATTAATACTTTAATATAAGTGAAAAAGTAGAGTAAATATAAAATATAACAGAAACGTAAAGATTTTTCTATTCTTGTCACAAAACTTTTTCAAACATTTTAATTTAAACCATACAAGATTAATGGAAAGCATAAAATTAATAAATTTCAATGTATACAAGAGTATGTTATTTTAGAGGCTTCTAGCAACACTGCCACCACACCGAGATCTCTGCTGATACCCCTCCACTACTTACCGTATCAATGAAAAAAAATAATTTTTTTTTTTGTTAACGTTTGATTATCTCACGAGCCTGCAAACATTCCAATGTGGGTCGCGGGTTAGCCACCCCCGATCTAGATAAAAACTTCAGCAAACTATGTAAAATCCAAATATAAATATGAAGAAACTATGATTAAATACAAATACTCATTCACTTTAATTATGTATTGAATGTTCTCTGTGAGTGCATATCATAGCCTCCGGTAAATATCGGATAACACTCGTAAAGAAAACGTGATATTTGATGCGTCAAAAAGAGGTAACATTTGTGTAAAATAAAAAAAACATTAAATTTAACTTAATAATTTACTTGAGTTCATAATTATTTAAAATTAAATTATTTCGTTTAAATTGTACACTTGTAGTACATAATATCATATATATGATATAATATCAGTGTTAACATTTGTATTTGAAAAACTAAAAAAAAACATCATGGACAACAATGTTTCAAAAATTGAAGCTAAAATTTATTTTAAAGGTATCAAAATGTGTGTACATTAATTGTAAAACCGTACAAAAATTAACCACAAATAAATTAAATAAATAAAATACATTTCACTATTCATCAAAGAAATCAGTGTCATGTTATATTTTTAACTTTAATTATTAACAAAATAAATTGATTATAATTTTTTTATATTTCGCTGATTGCCAAGGTATATAAGACAAGAACATTTTTTGTGTAGAACATTATATACATTTGACGTGACATCCATATGCACTATAAACAATTTATAAAAAATAAATTTAATTAATATTTTAGTATAAATTTTATAGTTAATTCAATAGAATCACCTATTTTCTTTGCGGATGTTTTTTTGGATAACGTACGTCTCCAAATTTTATTATTTGATTGTTTATTATGAGAACTCGGGTCACCGGATTTCTGTCTGTGGTTGTCTATTGGTCTAAACGATAGTTTAGCATTGTTCGTTAAATTTCTGTAGTAGTAATCGAATATTTCTTTATCTGTGGTTTGTTGCGTATTGCCACATAACCATAGTTCAGAACCATACATTATCGAACGTAGTATCATCACCATCTGTTTTTCGTGTTTGCAATCATCAGCTTCATTGATTGGTCCACATTGATAAGCGATACACCTATAGCTTTTAATAACATTTTTAATATTAATAAAGGCTTTTTCTAATGATGTCCAGTATGATGTTTGGCTGGTAAAAACGCAAATTATTTTCTCTTTCTTTATAAAATATGTAGTGATATCTCCAGGTTTCAAATTTTTACTTCTTATGTCTTCCAACAATCTATGAACAGATAAAATAGAGATGATTATATTTAAGATTTGTACATTCCGAATTTCAGAATGTATTTATATTTCTAAATTGCTTGTCATCGATATTAACGTATCAAATAAATTGCAAATAATTTAACAATAGTTATATACATATGTATCAATATAAATATAGGTATGATTAGTAAATAAATATGTACTTTAACACTAAATTAATACATGGTAAGAGAGATAATGATAGATTTCGTATCACATGTAGATTCATTTATATTATTGGTCATATCATTTTTCAATAGTTTTCACTATAATCGTTTAAAAAAATTTCTATTAATTTAAAAAAATGCAATAACTGGAAATATTTCATGTATTATAATTTACGCTGCTTGAATATTTTTAAATTTATATAGTATAAATTTATACTCTATATACATTTTAAATAATTATCTATAGAGGTTACAATCCTAGTGATGAATGTCAAATGTACATATATTCTTTTAGATTATTTGGTGTTCGGTAAGTTGTATTCATTTAAAATGAGTTAACTTCAATGTAACATCGTATGTTTAATTAAAATATATTTACTTTTCTTTAAAGGAAGGATAGCTAAAGTTTACTTCTTCTACTAGGTTATTTGTCCAATTTTTCATTTTAACTTGTTCCAAATCAATTAACAACAAAATATCCGATTTCGCTTCCACCTCAAATATTTTTTTTCGGCGTAATAAATACTTTTACTTGCGGTGGTGGTATACGATAGAATATCTTACAAAAGTTTTATGTTAAAGTAAAAGCAACCAAATATTTGATAATTTTTAACACTTACTTTTGTTGGAATGCAAATCCTTATACTAATTCCAGATCCAGCAAAAATACTTGCGATAATTGTTTTTACTTCAAGCCAATCAAGACCATCGAAATTACAACCGATTTTTGATAGTTCTAACTTAGTTAATTTCATAATTTTCATTTTTTCTAGAAGGGATTTTAATGCTATAATTAACGCTTGCTTGGTTGTTTTATCATTGTTATATTTTTTTGTGATTAAGTAAAATGCGACTTCATTACGGCCATTAATAATCAAACCAACGTTCCCTATTTTTAAATTTTGATCACTAAGCTGCCCAATACCACCAAAATAACGCCTAGAAAGCAAATTAAAATAATTATTATCATAATAATAATCATTATAATATTTACAAGATATTTGTACTTGAATTCGCAAGCAATTCCTGATTCCATACACAAATCCTCAGAAAGGCATAGAGCTAGAGGAATGTCTCTGGACAGGTTGAATAAATTCTCGTCGATTTCAGTTAGTAAACTTGAAAATATTAAACATAATTCAATTAATAAATTAAAAATAACTTTATTAATATGTATTTATTATTAAAATTATTAAAATATGTATATTTAAAACACCATTTAAAACAGCCATCAGGTAAAGCATGAACCCAAAAGGTGAAGTTGCTTTTGGAGAATACTATTATACCATTACACATTTAGTTCAACTTTTATAGTTAAACTATTATACACATCATACCCTTTTAAACTTCTCCTAAATGGCAAAAAATGGCTTACATTTTTATAAAATATAACTGGGTTTGAAATCTGTTCTGTCATTAGTGTTATTTCACTAAAAATTTAAATTACTTATAATAAAATTACATATAAATTATTAATATTAATTAAACACACCATGTTCTTTCTGTTAAAGTCGGTTTATGTTCAAAGTTTTTATTTGCTGTTGTTTCTTTACAAGCACTTGCATAACTCTTATGTTTTTCATTGCTGTATTCATTTTTGTAAACATTGGCTGCATTTTGATTTGAAGACTGGGTTTCATCACAACTAATATAATATTAAATTAAAAATTATAATTAACATTATTTTTAATTTATGCATAATATTTATGATATCATGTATTACGATATAAATATATCCTTTATATATTTACAACACCGCTTATACTTATATTTAAATAACTGAAAAATAATTTTAAAAATCTTAACGGTTTTTCGTAAATACCAAAACTTTTTTTTAATCATTTTGTAAGCTTTGGATCCTATATAAAAAAGTTTAAGCTTTTTTCTAAAAGATCAAAAAAAAGTATCAATATGACTATGATGTACGAGTGTTGTTTTAATTTATTCATATGTATAAATAAATAGATTACAGTAAGTTATATAAACTATGGTAGCAAGTAACAAAAATACATATTTTAGTGAAAAATAATTAGAAGATGAACTGTGATAAACAATTAAACAATGTATATACCTTTTTGTTTGTTTGCATTCCTTCATCTTATATATTGTTGTATTTATTCTTTACAAGTTCAAAATCAGAAAAAAAAAAATTTTTCTGAAGCTGAAAAAAATTTATTACACAATACACAATTGCTCTTTTTTTTACTGTAGTTATTTATGATACTGTGCCTGTGCTAATGTGCTTTAAATTAATTAATTTAAACATTAAAATTTGATTTATATTTTTTAATGATTTTTAAGTATAATATTAATATTAATTAATATTTGTTTTGTGTTAGCACGACATACCCCGTACTTTCACCTACGGAAAGGCATTCCATTTTTATTAACCCCGGATTTCAAATTTCTTAGATCTAGCACCGAATACATGATAAGGCGTTTCAACACCTAAGCACATTTAAGCCGAGCATCGTGAGCCGATTTCTTTTGATTATGGATCAGAGACCGAAAGTCAATAACTCGCACTAAATATAAATCAGGATGGATCACGTTTTCTCGGTTTAAATTAACCCTCTTCACAGTCAACGATTTGAAGTAAGCTTGACCGAATATTTTTAGATGTGGATGTGGTTTTTTTTTACTAAGTTTAATATATATTAATAATTATATACATTTTCGGTAAATTTAATCTTTAAGACATAATTTTATAATATAATATTTATAACAGATAATCAAGCGGAGAACTTTAAATATTTAGGATCATTTGTACATAGGTAGATTTGGCATGGATGTAAAACATCGGATTAAGTGCTGTTGGATAAAATGGTTAGAAGCGTTGGACGTTTTATGCGATAAGAGAATTCCATTGTGGCTGAAAAGTAAATTGTATAGGAGTATTATGAGATCAATTATGCTATATGTTTCGGAGTGAAGGGGTAATTGACAGAAGAATAGAACAGAGTATGAGTGTTGTGGAAATGAGAATGCTTAGATGGACGAGTGGAGTGACAAAAGAAGATAGAATAAGGAATGAATAAATAATAGGTGGTAATGGTGTAGCATCGATATTAGGCTAGAGATGGTTATATATAGTCTATAGAGATGGTTTTAGGCAGACGAAAAGGCAAGAGGAAATAAAAGTAGTAAGAGTGGTTATGAAAATGAGTGCAGAAGGAAAAAAAGGAGAAGGAAAAAAAGGAAAAGGAAAAACAAAAATAAGATGATTGGATAAGATTGAGATTGATATGAGGAATGTTGGTGTGTGCGTAGGGGACATAGAAAATCGTGACGAGTGGAGGATTAAGACATCGGTGGCCTACTCAAATATTTGTGAGAACGGTGAAGATCGTAGTAGTTATATTTCCACGTAAGAATATTCAAAAAATTGTAATATGTTCACTTACTTATAATATGTTCGCTTCCGACTAGGTGAATATCAAAAATATTATTCAATAGTTGTATAGATATTATGTTATGTTGTATGGAGTTTTCAACGACTTTCAAGTTCAACACTGAGTCAACATTCAAAATCAATAACGTTGGCAAGATGAAATTTGTATATTGTAACCATAGTGCTATACAAGGGCATATTAGTTTAGAATGACTTTTAACCAACATGAGTTAATAGCTTTGCAAATTATTTATATTTACTAATTATAAATTATATCAATAACTCCATTTTAATTTATATATACAGTTATTCCTTGTTCTTTTGCTATAAAATCAAACATAATATAACATAGCAAATGTGTCCAACATCATTGATAAAATGTTACCCGTAAAGAAGTAAATTCGTTTTAAAAAAACTATGCGATATTGAAATATAGCGAGACGATGTAATGATTCGAATAACAAGATTGAAATTGTCGCTCGGATCCAACGCAATGTTTAAAAATTTACGATTGACAAACTCAATTACAAACATACTTGAATCGATGAGCTTGATTGGTGTCATGGGTGCAACGTACATGTACTTTGATTTCTTGAAAATAGCAGCATTCTGTTTTAGGTAGCATTTCATACTCCTTCATATAAATAATTGTCAAATATATACTTACACAATGAACAGTTGTCAAATATGCGAAATATGCAACTATACATTTTAAATATAAACTTGTATTGCTATGAAATAAATTTCTATATTTAGCTATGTTTTTGATGATTATTTAAAAATATGCAAACTCCTAGAAGTCCCGAACCTTACTATTGGATGGAAAAGTCTAAGTGGAGAATTGTTATGTCTTATAGTATGGAACTGTCCCATACACTTCCAGTCCGATTCTTACTCAGAAATTACATTTATTTTAAATTTTATCAATGTAACTCGTTATGTTCTTAAATGCGTTATCACCTGTATGATAATAGTAGAAACATTAGCGGGTACATGTAATCACATTTAGTATTATCAGAACTGATATCGGTTATTGTCAAAAACCGATAAACACGGCCGGCTTTTAAGTATGGTAGGAGCAGTGGTGGTCTCTATGGAGTGATGGCGGCAGCGGTGGCGGTAGTGCCAGAGGCAAAATATCCTACTTACAAGCAATAAATAGCACCAAAACTGGAAATATAGTGCACCATAAAACTACATTGCTAAAAATGTACAAAAATTTTGCGGTACAAAATTTCAAATGTTACTGGTAAGCAAAACAAATACACAGTTCACTATGCTACTTTTGTCAGTATATACAGAATATTCTATGATGATAATAAAATCACAATAAAACAGTGCGGTCATTTTAAGTCTATGTATACTTAATATCAGGAACTCCCCAGCACGTCACCAACGACTTATGAAATTTGCATTCTAACTTTAAATAAACTTCTAACGCTCATCTAGAAAATAAACATTACGACTTTCAATACTCGTAAAAATCCTATTATCATTTATCTTTCGTCCAAACCGATTACAGGTAACCCGCTCAGGCGCCTTAAAAGAAACCGGTGTAGGTACCCGTTCACTCCTCAAAAACTTTTCATGGATGTCGCCGATGGGCATTGGTCGTACGAAAATCATAAAACTTACTTGTTGTAAAATTGTTGTTTGATAAAAACAAATTATAAGACGCTACGTTCGAGCTGAATTCGATCTTGGGTTATTGTACCGTTATTGTTTTTGTTAAAACGTCTACGAAACTCTTCGCAACAAAGGTTTTCGTCTCGGCGCACGCGCACCGCAACAATAAACAACGTTGTTCCGACGATTTACACAAAACATCACGTCCTGATGATATTGTGATCGTAAGTACGCGCAATAACCCGTTCCGGGGTATACGCAAACGGGTCGCCCCTCGAACGCCCACTGTAATAATAATAAAAAAAGAATTCTCCCGATGGGTTTTTTACCCGGTTTGTATTTATTACACCCGGTTTACAACGGCTACGCGCTACCGTGGCGGGAGGAGTATGTGCCGGGTAACGATGATGACGATTGGTAGGAGGAGGGGGTTGTTGCGTGCCGTAATATGTTATGCGTAGCAACTTAATTAGAAACGAAAAGAATACATATAATTTACCGCGTCTCTGAACCGGGCCAATTGTACGCGATACCATAACGGATATTGCAACGACGACTGTAATAACGATGGTAACGGTTTTAAATCATTACGATAATGTTCCGACCGAACGCGTGCAGCAGTGGTATCGGGCGTTGGACGGGCGCGACGGAATACGTAACGGATACATGTATCGAATTTCGATCGATAAACGCGCGCGCGCGTTTAAACTCCTGCCTTGCAGTCTCCAATTCCGATGCGTTCACCAACGGTATTCGAACCAGGATCGAAATACTAATGTCTCGCAGCCGGTACACCAGGGACGTATTTAGACTTACTTCCTGGGGGGGGGGGGACTACTCAAATTTTTTATTTAATTCAGGCTCGAAAATGTAAAATTGTTGGTAATGTTCGAATCAGATGAATCCTTAATGTTTGTGTTTTTTAATTTTTTTATCACCTAATGCCGGATCCACTTAGAATCGACTTTTGTGTAGTTCTTTTTAACACCAGTCTGTGTTTTGAAAGTTACCCCTGTGTTTTATTTGATTTTTCACTAAGCATTGACTCGACAAAAAGCCCAATTCAGTATTCACAGCCACGCGTAATTTGATTTCGTTATAAAATGATCCGCATTAAAAAAAATTTGAAATGTGTGTCTTACATATAATCGATTACTTAAATACGAATCCAGGGGGGAGGATCGTCCCTTTGCTCCTTTCCCCAAAAAAAAAAAAAAATACTCCCATGCGATACATACGCGCCAACTTTTCACTACTATTCATGTATATAATAGCACCGAACCTTTTTTGTATCTGTATAAACCCTACTTATGGGTACCACTCACCCACTCACCGAAAAATTATAATTAAACAGCAAGTATTGTGCACGTGTGAACTATACGAGTATTTACAATCCAGTAATAATCATATAACGTTATAGAATATTTTATCATACAAATATATCTAGCGCTCAATAGGTGACCATACGCGAGAGGATTTCATGATGGATTAAGTTCTTAGGTCCTCGGCAGATGCAGTCCATCGGACTAGGTCCTCAGTTGCAGGTGCGTAGTCAGAGAAGGGGTGTTACAGGTTTAGTAACACCCCGCCCCTTTAACCGTATTATACTCAAGTCTTATAAATATGAAAATCCATCATAAACCGTGATAAAAACATATTTATCATAGCTAAATATATACACAACAATAACTTTAAGCAGAGATCCAATTTCTCATCACATCGTTTTGTCTAATAAACCAGAGCCACGGCTTTGTATCGCTAACGGCTTTGTATTGGTTTTGTATCGTATCATACGCGATATAAAATAGGTACACATGACAAAAATGTACATTTTAAATTTTAATAAAATATTTAAATACTATCTCATAGAATTGTACATTACACATGAATAGATATTCGTGTGTAATGTACTGATGTGTTTGTATGCTTGTACAATAAAGTTCACGTAAAGTAATTATTTTTTTGTGTAATTGAAATTTTGAAATTTATAGCTACGCGCCTACTCAGTTGTGTCCACTTACGTGAAAATAAGAGTTAGCTACTTTTCACGGATCAAATCTACTATGTCCGCTGATTAATGGAGGAAATTCGTTGACTGAGGACCAAGTCATCTGATCTTTCAAACCGTTTTGAAAGATATATACAGTGATATATATATTATAGTGACGCTGAACTCATTTGGAAGATGGGCTGAATACCCTAGAACGTTTTTAGGTGGTAAGCGGGTGGCTTAATAGGTGCCCAAACACGAGAGGATTTCATGACAGATTTGGTGGATTAAATCCTCTAAAAATTCTTACCATGCGTGGTGTTAAGCGGATTCAATCCGTTGCAAGCGAAAATCCGACGGATTTAGTCCTACATATCAAATCTCTTGCTTCTCCGCTAGCAAGAAACGTCCGGTCTGTCGGACCTAAATAAGAAATTATTATTTATTATTATCATACAATGACATTGGGTTCATTTCCGCTCGATTCTTGTAATAATGAAATATGACCAAACAAGTCCTTTCTAGCGAAACAATTTTTTTTTGTCGAAGGCAAATTATTTCGTTGTCCATTGTTAATTTATTTGTTATTATGTCAATTATAAAATATACATATTATGTATATCGTGAGTATAATTAGTATACAATATTATGACGATATTTCATCGTTAATGCGCTGTGATATTGAAATCTATTCTAACTGCACATCACATTCGGACGAAAAGTTTACGTTTCACCGTCGGCACGTCGACTCCATCCGTAGACAGTATGTCTTACACCGGCGGAATACATATGCGTCGAAATGAGATAAGAAAAAAAAATAATCCATACCGTATGAATGCGCCAAAATCATGTTTTTGTTTCCGTGCGCCGCAGTATCTAATGCTTTTTTATGCCCTCGAAGAGTGTCACGCAGCAGTTTCTCAGACGATAAGTGGAGCACACAGTTGCATTCCCTACGTACAGTTCCAAAAAAAATACTAAAAAGATTTTCTACTTTATCTCTAATGGTTTGAGATGTATCAATGTAGCATGATTCGTCATTAAAGTATATAACATTTTATTTTGCCAATTGAAAAACATTAACTATAGTTCATACTTTTAAATTAAGTTTATTTTTTCTAACATTTTTCTTGAACCGTATGCAGTTCGACAATTATTTGTTTTTGACCCGAGTGCAGATCGACCGTTGCATATTTTTAATTCAAATGCAATGCGTCCTTATACCCGTCAGTAAGTCCTTTAAGTTTATTTGCATTGCAAAATTCCTAAGGTTGAAGCCGTGCACGGGTACTTTCCCGCGAAAACGATATATTATACCGTTAGACGTTGAATGTTATATTGATTCGACAATTTAACTACGCGTTAATTTCCAACTCGGAGTTAATCATACTTGAATATAATATTATAATTATTAAAAATACTCCTCGTTAACAACACGGATTTATGAGTGAACTTTGAAAGTTCACTCGTGTGACTGACATTTCGATCATGTTCGATTATGGTACAAATGTCAACAAAAATAGTCTGCGAAAAGTTGTTGATGCAAATGTTATGGTCGAACATTAAAATGTTCATTGTGTTTATAAAGTTTTCAAGTGTGGTTACTGCACGAAAGTTTAATACGCTGTGTGTGTATAAAATCCGACAAAAGGATGTATACAATTGTCGGTACGTTTCAAATGAATTTCAATTGAAACACCGGTACAACGAAAACCGTCGAAGGCGGACTCTAAATAAGAAACGGAAATCCGCCGATTCTTAGCCAACATTTCTTCGCGTATTAATAGCACGAGAGTTTATCAATTTTCCAACGTGTCTAGGAAACGTCCAGGAAATGTGTCTAGACTGGACAAAAAAACGTTTTGGTCCTCATCCCGATAACGCGTCGACTTCCTTTACGGATGATAATATTAAAAATATTTTATAACCGAACAGCACTTCTGTTCACATCAAGATCTATGTATAAAAAATAATGCGTGCGTTGTCGTGTACATTTACTTGTGATGAGTTGAGATCTATGCCTATGAATCATAAACGATTAAGAACAGGTAATTGTTTTTTTTTTTTAATTTCACTGATGTCCCGCCCGGCCGATGATATTCTGCACTGCGAACCCAGCAGCTGATTCCTGTATGATCTGTACGACAATTATCGTAATATATTATTACAAATCGATGGCTCGCGAACGGATTATATTAATACCGTCGCTGAGTCACGCCGTCGTTGATATCGCACGTCCGAGTAAAGTCCGTACCCGTGAGCAGCCACGTGCATGGGATGTCTTTGTGAAACCGTGATGTGAAACAACAATAACTATTATGAATACACATACTCGAAGTAAAATAACACAGGTCAACGGGGTTAGGGTTTGATATTAATTAATATTATAATCGCGCAATGTCATTGCTCGTCCGGCCGTACCTTACCAGTGTAATGATCATTACTCATTACTCATCAGTCCAGAGCAAAGGTTTTCGAACGTTTAAACTCATAATTTGAAATTCTACAATATACGATAATTAAGCACAAAATAGTGTATTGCACCTCGATATTAATAGAAACCGTCCGTAATATGATTTTTTACGAACACGAATCGATTTTTTATGTCTTAATTCATACTTTTTCGAAACCAGTCATTACTGCTGTTTAAACGAACGCTTCCGACATTTAAGCATTTCGTTTTGATCGAGACGAATAAATTAAAATTAACCGTTATAGTTTCATACCGTATATTATGATCCGGGATGGTTTATTAACTATATACTATAATCCATTTTGTCGGTTGAAAATAAATTCTATACCACGTGATAAAATACGTATTCATACGTAGAATGAAAATGAATTTTTCTCAAAATAATAATGTAACGTTTTCTGACGAATATAAAATACTGTGGACTACTTTCTACGTAAGACCGTCAACATTTTGTCAACCATTAATTTATTTATTTAAAAAAATAATAAAGCAGATAATAAATAATATTAAAATAGGTTAAATTATTTATAGTTTTATAAGGAATAATTATAATTTAAATATTTTATAATGAATATAAATATATATATGTATATACAGTGTATTCAATGATAAAGGTAACACGAAATATTTCCAACGCATCACCTTGTATTTAATTCGGAGTTTTTTTTTACCTGTAAAAGGACTAAAATTTACATTTATTTTTGAAAAATTTTTAACATTTTTTCCCCACGAATGCTCGGTAAAACAATTTTTTTTTTTAAATAGCAGCCTCTATTTTTAAGTTCATATTTGGTTTACATTAATTTTTTTAAATCACTTTGACTTATAAAGTTTTGTTCTGTCTTTAAAATTGACCAATTGAGTGTGAGTTAGAATTTCGACATACGAAATGTGTATTTATCGTATTTTCTATCAGTCTATCCATGGTTTTACAATAATTCATGCGATTTATTATATTTTTTCTGTAAAATTAATTTCTGTATAATTAAAATTAATGTTTTTATGTGCATAACGTTTAAATTATTTACACAGAGTCATTAATTCAAATAATTACTCGTAAATGATAAATGTGTAAATTTATGGTTGATTAACGAATTAATTCTAAACAAATTTACACATATTATTCTAAATTTAATTAATCTGAAAAACAAATCGCTATCAATTGGTCAATTTTAACGATAGAAAAAAACTTTATAAGTCAAAGTTATTTAAAAAAAATTAATGTAATTCAAATATGGACTTAAAAATAAAGGTCACTATTTAAAAGAAATTTGTTTTACTGAACATTCACGGGGAAAATTATTAAAAGTTTGAATTTTTCAAAATAAGTGTAAATTCAAGTCCTTTTACAGATTAAAAAAAAAAAACCCCAAATTAAATACAAGGTGATGCGTTGGAAATATTTCGTGTTACCTTTATCGTTGAACACACTGTATACTAAATTATTTCAATTATTAGAAAATAATTAAATACACTAAAAAAATGCCGAACAAATTAAGATAAGAAAATTCAAAATAAAAATTAGTTATTCAAATTCGTCTGTCATTACATTATTAGCTAAAAATTATTGTAAAGATGATTGAAAAATAAATACGAATATTAGTAATACACTAATCCTAGTACGTAGTAATAGACAGTATACAATAAGCAAAACATTTGTTAATTTAAAATAATTATTATTAACTATTTTGATTTGATTTTTATTGTTTAAAGAGTATCAGAATTGAAATAATTTTACAAGTTTAAAAATTAATCGTTTGCGATATTTAATTATGTATATGATTTGAATCAGCTTAGCAGAGTTATCCAAAATAATGAATTTGTAGTATTTATTTTATAATCTGATGAAGTTTTGTAGCAGTCACGGTTTTCATCACTACTATTCTGTTTTGTTTCCATGAACCGTGCTCTAACGGAGGCTTATAAATTATAGTGAACGTTTTCAAATAGGTGTTTTATCCAGTCTCGAAAAGGGGTTAATACCCTTGTGCCGTTGTAAATTTGTTTGGCCCTCGTAAACTTAGAATTGGGCCTTTAGGCGGTCCATAATAATTAGATCTAAGCATTAAACATAAAATATTGTTCTGAACGAGTATAATTTATTGGTATGTTTATGAATATTTAAAGTGAACGATTTTTATGAAACACGTATAAGGTATCTAAGTATATGCAGAATATATCAAGATGAAATTTTTTGTTTTTTATTTAATAATACGTCATTGCAGTGGCGCGTAATGGTGTTTTTCGAATAAAATTACTGTTTCGTTGGGTACGTTTAAAACATTATTAAATGTTTGTGATTATATTTACTACGTATGCGTATCGTGGAAAAACATTGATTTGTATACAATAACCGAACTGCCGGCAGTGGCAAACGTTTCCGTACGAATCAAATACTGCGACGACCAGTGACGGGAGAACCGTTTGGAGGAAAACGGTGACACGCGTACATCACAATATTATTCTTACACGCGTAGACATACGCTGTTATGTCCGTACGCGGACAAACACAACGGTCCTTCGTGTGTTTTCTGTGCGCGCATCGTTTACGTAAACTCGTCGTCGGCACGGGGATCGATTCCCGACGGGGTATGGGTTCGGGGTTAAAAAGAGAACAACGTTACGCAGTACGTCTGGACGGCGAGAGCCGGGATTCGGAGGTAACGAATACTTCTCGAAACCGACGAGATTCGATTGGTTATCGACGGTCTGGTGCAATGCGATCGGGCAAAAGGATTGCGTAACTGTAAGCGTTTTATACGACTCACAATAGCATCGCAACGCGATACACTGAACCGTCGGGTACGGTACAGGCCATCCGTACCGTTACGATGCGTCGGATTTTTACACGGAGTCTCGTCCCCTCTCCCTGCACCGGACCAGTGCACGCGCATGCGTCCCCGCCGGGCCGACCGTTGATTGAAACACATCACGAGCCTTACAGAGATAAGGAAAACCACGACGGTAACAATTAATACGGCGGTTTCCCTTCCGGACGAGAACCCAGATTAGGGACCGAATAAATAAGCCGCGGACCGTTGGACCGAACACTAGTCATCGGTTGAACGCGGACATCCGAAGTGATTGCGGCGTTTTTCTCCGTTTTTCTTTTATCTGTTATTACTTTTCGGTTACGTTACTTCAGTTAGCAAAAATGTCGGAAGACGCATTCATCGTGGCGCCGACTAAAAAACACACGGGCACCGTGAGTAGAACAATGATATTAATCGATCCGCTCGTTTGCGTGTCGAAACGCAGCGAGACCATGAACGGGATTGTAATCGCGTGTTTTCCACTGATTTCAGGTCATCTTCTTGCACGGGCTCGGCGAAAACGGGTACGTTTATGCGTGAGAAATTTTAACCGATATTTTTCCCAATTTTTTTTTTTTTTTCAAATTTTTACGAACCCGTTAGTTTAGTCATCAGATACGTTTTCATTAATATCGCCCAAATGCGTGTGTTGCACGCCGATCAACAAAAAAAACTTACCGGAATTCGTACGAGCGGTGAAATAAATCTCAGTAATTATTTAATGCGTACACTTTATTTGTATATTTATTTTAATTGGATCCAAGGGCTTTTACCGAAAATGTCTGCACACATTAAGTATATTATAATAGTAGTCCGTTCAGTGGTTTAGAAACAAATTGAGCAAGGTGAAAAAACTATATTTTTTTAACTTTTAATGCACTCGTAAACTCGAACACATTAATAAAAAAAACAATCGCTCAGCCTGTATACTATATTATTCCGTATCACATGTTTACAGTTCAAGATTATATGGTCCGGGAGTAAATTAATATAATTATTATACATAAAACACTGAGAATGAAAAAATGTTTGCCTATGTTTTATTAATTACCAACGTAAACGATAAGATTATTATATTGGCCAACAGGTACAGCAAAACAAAAAAAGTAAATACATTTTAACATATTATTGGTAAGATAAACAAATTATTCTTGACAGGTATTTAATATTTTATAATAATATATACAGCCTTCTATTTTATAATCGATGGTTGAAAAAACTTTTTTCTGTGTAATATAGTTATAATAGTTCAAATGTTTACATTTGATCATGAACTGGACCGATTGGTTTTTTTTATTCATATTTTTATCTGGTGTTGTTTTGCTTAGCAAAAAAATCGATTTCATTCCAGAGATTCCCAAAGATTTAGATTATGAGCTCATTCAATTATTTTCATCATCAAAGACCTTTGACCGGCATAATTTTTCAATTTATATGGTATATTGTTGCTTATGAAACACAAGAAAAAATTTAAAATAAACTTCTATACATTATTTGGTTTTTACTCATCTATATTAAATTTTTTCTGAATACACGATTGACTTTAAAGCATCCTTATATATTTTCATAATTTAATATTTATTTTCCTATCATAAGTTAGGTTGTATTAGTTATATGCTGCCGATTATTTTTAGCCAGTAAATATGTGTAAAATTCAAGTTACATTTTTTTTATTTTTATCCAATATACATAATATAATTTATATAAAAAATATTTATAGTCAGTATAAATGATAAACTTTATAATTTTTGGAGAAAGCTAGTGCTTGATTGTTGCTTTTTTTCTTCAAAAAGCAACGCATTCAACTTATACTTTGGTTCTTAAAGTCAAATCCAAAAGCTCAGTATTGGATACTGTTAGAGAGAATGTCTGTACTTCTTAAAGATAGAATATAGCAATTTTGTTGTATTTTATCAGATTTTCTTGTTCTTCATCATCTTCTTCATTGTCAATCTCTTCGTCCTTTTTACCTTGATTTTTCAGCATGAATATAACAGAGTCATAGGTCTGTAGTTACATTATAAAATATGCGTATCACAATTAAGTTATAAAATTTTTCATCGCTCAAATTGCACCACATACATAGTGTATAAGATCTAAATTGAATAACTCGTATTTTATGATACGTGACAAGATTTGTATCGCATGAAATGTTTATATTTATAGTTTAATTTGTATAGTATTAATTTGGACAAAAAAAAAATCTGTTGCGCTGGTCAGTCGAATCCTAAATAAAACCTGCAGGGTTCAATAGTTTGCTTGACACGTGACCGTTGACCACGTAGGTTAAGCATGAACGAAATGCTTGTTATCGCAAAAAAAAATAAACCATGTGATTCGGTGTACGAAAATAGTTCGTATTAAAAATATTTGTGTTCGGCAAGAAACCAACGCAAATGTAACTTTTGAATGTAATAGTTTAAAATCGTTTTTATTTTCGTTTTAAGCGTTATCGCTTCAAATTGATAACTTGTAGTTAATATACGGTTTAATCTGATCATATAATATCATATGATATAATCTGTTCAATACATATGTACTAATATACTATTGTTATCTTTCTTTTCCTCCAAGTCCGTATAATAATGTGTCTGTGTTATTATAATTAAACGTACGACTTAGAATCTCGCGGGGTTAACAATGAGGAATGCAACACACGTGTTCAATATTATCACTGTACCGCATAGTTATTATTAACTTAACTTAACTATTGATTGACCGTGTTCGGTGTATGATTACAGAGAGAATTGGAAACAAACGCTTGGGAAAATGGTCAAGCCCAACATCAAAGTGATTTGTCTCAACGCGTAAGTGAAATTTTCATATTATTATTGTTTTCTGCCGCGCCAGTGACGGATTATTGGTGGGGAGGGGGTCTTGCTTCCATCCGTAGGGCCTAAATTAGGTTTTTTTAACTCAAAAGTCAGGCTTGTTTCGGTAATGGAATCATCGTGACTTACACGCTGAAACGGCTTTCCTTTTCGAATTTTATCCGGTACGGTGCCACGAACTTTCGTCGGAGGGCGTCGAAACCAACTAAGGTTTTTTTTCATCCGGTCGTTACCGTTCAAACGCAAATCTAATTCATTTAGCTAACATGGTGATGACGAGAGTGTAAGAGAACTTGTGATTTTCCTTTTGATTTATTCGCTATACGTAAAATCAATGACGAAATTAGTAAATTCCAGGGAGAGGAAGAAAGAGAGAGAGAGAGAGAGAGAGAGAGAGAGAGAAAGAGAGAAAAGGAAATAAAAATCCGCTAACATAACCGTACTATAATTTGGGACAGACGAAGACGATTTCAAATAACTCGTACAAATCGGAACCCGTTTGCAGACAATATAATATATGACGGATCGATTTGTAAAGTCGGTTTGGGGAGAGGGGGGTTTGAGTTCCTCAAACTTTTATTTCGCGAGGGAGTCGGCGCGAAATGTCTATCACCTACAGGGGGTGAGGGTTTGTCCGTGAAGAAAAAAATCTGGCGGCACCGGATAATCCGATGCCGGTGGTCGCGGGAACTGAATAACATTGTTGACATTGCGTGTACGTGTTGCGCGCAGGTCGAAGATACCGTTGACGTTGAACAAGGGTTTCCCGACGGCCGCGTGGTTCGATCTGGCGTCGCTGGACGAGAACAAGATGGAGGACGACAAGAGCATCTTGAGGGCGGTGGACAAGCTGCACGACACGTTGGACGAGGAGATTGCGTCGTCCAAGGTGGCATCCACCAAGACCGTGTTGGCCGGTTTCTCACAGGGCGGCGCGCTGGCCATGTACGCAGCGCTCACCTACCACAAACGGCTGGCCGGCGTCGCGGTCATGTCCAGTTGGCCGGTGCTCCGACACACCCTGCCGGATGTGAGTGCGACCCCCGTGGTGGTGGTGGTGGTGGGGGGGAGGGGGGTAGTTTATAGCATTAATTTACAAAATCCTATCTCTCGGTTTTCCACGTCTTGTTGTTTCCAAGTGACTTTTAAAAGTTCCAATCAAGTTTGGTTACTTTTAACCGAATATTATTACTGGTCGAGATGATTTTTTTTTTTTTAACTAACGTCTTTCTTTGCAAATTTAACAACTTCCCATGATGTGATACTTCAAATCGATAAAAATCGGGTTTTCTTATCCAAGTAATTTTCCAGAGATTAAAAATTATATCTGTTTGAGCGAACTATTGTTTTTTTAATAAAAATAATTAGAATCACAGTTCTGTTTAACGCACCGATCATAAGTTTCAACAAGTATCTATCTACCATAAATAAAGATAGTTTTATATAAATATCATAAGTAATATACTAATACAGTAAATTATAACCTATTACAAATTTCTCTGGATGAATCAGGGACTAAAATTGTGTGCAGTACGACATACTTTGTGCAATACGCAATGTTAAGATGAACGAGTATCATCAGCAAAATCGAAAATACTATTTTAACTGTGTTACTCATTACTGTTAACGTTTGAAAGGCGAGTATAACAAATTCCTTAAAGTGTGTACTACGAAAAAGTATATATTTTAGCCTCTAGGATGAACTTCACTTAACGAATTAAAAGATTAATCAACTTGTCCACTATTGATTCATTTAATTTTGCTTACTACCAAAAAAAAAAAAAAAAAACATTTGACGTTGGAAAAATAACTTACTATAAATCCTACAATGGTATCCTGTTTATACCTGCAGCATTCATTTTATTTGTCGAAATAGAAACTGATTACATCATATTTAGTAATAAGTTATAAAAGTTAAAAAAATTACTTTTAATTCAACAAATACTCTATATCTATTTTGCACATCAGATTTGTACGTTTAATAACGTTTATTTATTTGAAATGTTTTGTGTTCTATAGGGGTCGACCAGTACGTTTTATTAGAAATTATGTCGTATAAATGTATTTTTTCTAAGTATTTTTTTACAAAATCAAATATTTCATCCCTTTACCAGGTTATATACGTGAATAATATATTATACGTGAATTGTTTTATTATATTTAAATATTTCAATTCAACATCCAATATCTGATTTCGTATATATGGTTAATGTAAGTTTTGAAAATAACTGACAACTATACACGATGAGGTACAGGGTTTATTTTAATAAATGTACACTCTACACCAGTGTTTCTTAAACTTTTTTGTCCGTGGTACCCTTTTTTATGACCACTATTTTCATGGAACCATCCTTTTTTAATTATTTTTATTAGCTTTTTACCTATTTTTATTTAACTTTTAACAATTAGTTATTACAGCGCAAAAATTATAATTCATACTTTGTTTAATAATACCATTTAATAGGGGTGAATGCAAAAAAAAAATATCGGAGGGGGAAATTGAAAATATGTAAAATGTTGATAAATAGCATGCTCATTATAAAGTATATATGTACCTATGTGTATTTTATTTATTAGTCCCATGGGAAACTGAAATAACTATTCAATTTGTAGATCAGGTATTTTTGTATATTTCAGAGGGTGGGGGGAACCCTTATGTTTGCACTTACGAAAATATATTTTTTTTTTTTTTCGTTTTCAAGGCAATCATCAACAACACCAACACACCGATGTTGCAGTGCCACGGTACCGAAGATCCGGTCATCTATTTCAAATGGGGTAAACTACTGGCCGATCAATTGTCAAAGGTAAACTCAAAGTTTGAGTTCAAAACCTATGAGGGCTTGATGCACGCGGTCAATGACCAGGTAACGTGTTTTGCTGTGTAACCGTGTTAACATTATTTCTTTAGAATCGAAATTGATTTCAACATATTCAAAATATACAACAAAATAACCCAAATCGTGTATAATGTTATAATGAACGTGGTTTGGGTACCATTGGTATATTATTAACTGGCTTAACATAATACTTATGGTAAAAAAAATATTAATTGCACTAGTTATTGTCATGCATTTTCAGATTTTCTTATTTAATATACCGCCCTGATATGATTTAAATTAATATCCACTGAAATAGTAGCACTCATTGGTACTTAAAAAATCGAAACTTGTATTGAGCAGACGAAGTATTTTATTTCTGTATTTCGCGAAAAAGAATACCGTTTTTCGATATTTTTATTCGAACTACTCTTACAGGCATTATTGATTTTTTTCGATAATCTATGCGTACTCCACCGATCTTAAGATTTCGTTTGAAATTAATAACAAACTGTTTTGATCACTCGAGACAAATAACTTCAGGTGTACGACGATATTGGCGGATTATATTTTTGCTATTCACACTCGACGATATTACTTATATAAAAGTGATTAAAATATACAACCCATTCGTTTAATGAAAATCGATAAAACTATTTCGAAAAGACGGTATTATCAGTCATATGTGAAAACCGACCATCTCTTTGTATTGGTCATTGAAATCGGAACGATAAAAGTAGTGTCCGTTACTGGTCTTCTGTTCGACATGCACAACTATATCGTCACACTAAGGCCGATTTCACGCACATATACCGATTTTATCGGAGACAAATACTAGTTTCACATTAGATCTAAAATGTTATAGCGATAAAAAATCATTTTCCGTATATATGTCACGATTTTATTCTATTTTTTAACAAATTTGTTTTCATAATTTTTTTCTAAATACTTATAAATCTCATTCCATTCGTTACTCTTTTTTGGTTCTATATTTATAACCGTCCGTCTTCTTGTCCTAAAAGCATGTCCTTGACTCCACCAACTCAATAAGAGTAGGTACGTTATAAATAAAACTCATTATAATATATAATAATAATTTAACAGTTTTATTGAAGATTAGTACTTGACTAATGTCGAAGAACAATATTAAAACGAACCAAAACGGTTGTTATCGGTTGTGTGTGAAAAAGAACTATTTGTATTTATTAGCCGATGAAATCAGAACGATAAATATACCTCCGATTTTGGTCGATTGTCCGATTTGCACAAAGATATCGTCATAATCAAACAATATTTTTATCGTATCGATAATAATGTGAAAATCGTTCATTTAAAATCACACAATTTTACTTCTACCAACACTGATTTTATCGGTGAGTGTGGAAACGTTCTAACACTTACTTTCTCGTTGGCACATCTGAGATCCGACTGCTTTATAATTACACATTGCTTGAACCTATTGTTGAGGTATAATCATCGGCTACGATTTCTCCATATCCATCCCAAATCAACTCGACATTTAAATAAAAACGCTAAAATATGAAAAATTGAAATTGCACATCACATTTATATTGCAACAGTAATGAGTAAAGGGGGGATTTTCGTTCTCCAAATAATTTTAAAATGTGCATTCAAATATGTTCCATAAAATTTCATTATATGCATATAAAAATGTGAAAACATCAAAATATGGAAAAATAGTAAATAATATTTATTTAAACCGTTAAAAACTTAAAATTAAAATCAAATGGATGAATTAAAAAACACTTATTTTATTGTTGATTTAATCTGAATAACTAAATTAATCATTAAAATTAATAATTTTTTAAATGTATGTAAAATGTATTTCGTTTTACTTATTTAAACGTGTATTACACTGAATAAACATTGTTTTTGGAATATTTTGGAAGTTTTATATTAAGAGGACGTTACACATTCGTTTCTTGTCACCTAAAAGCATGTACTCGGAGAATAGCTCTCTTTTGAGTCGTAGTTATCCCACAAAAATCTAATTTTAACCATTTATAGATAATAAATTTATCTGTGTTCCGATGTTGCATAATATTTATTAGTATACTACTGTCTACTTCATATTTATCAATACAGATATGATTTCAATAATTGCAATTCAAATAGATAATAATTCAATATTAAACATCCAGTGAAATCTAAAGATTCGGGATATGCATAACTATGCACTAATAAAATATAAATATACTATGAAAGAAAAATGTATCAGAATATGCAAATAAATGCAACATAACAATTTTGTTTTCATATTCTATAGATCGCAAAACAAATGTCTACCCTACTCTACAACTTTTATTATCAAAAGAAAAATATATGCTGATGCATAAACATCTGTCCTTTTGTAATGAGTTAAAATTATGTTAACAAGAATATGTTTGTTTTATTGTAGGAATTGGCAGACCTCAAAACTTTCCTCAATAAAGTGTTGCCGTGAGATAAAACAAATACTATCAAGTATGATTTGCCTCGACAGTTGCAGCAAAATCAATTAGTTTTTTACACAGACCGTGTATGGAAAAAAAAATCATTAATTAGTTTTAAAATTGTTCATTATATGTGTAAGTATACGATCGTGTATTCATATATTATATATTGTATATTGTTGTTATCATCGACATTCATTATTTGAATCGATGCATCGACATTGCTATAAAACGTTTATATCTATAAGACGCGATTAATTATAACAATGAAATAAAAATTTAGGTATTAATCGGCTAATATATATATAATATATGTTTGTCCTGTATTTTATTTTTTATTTTTTTAACCCGAAGGTTGGTTTGCAACTCTTCTTCTCCATTCTTCTTGGTCACTCGCTACTTCTTTTAATGCCCTATAGTCTCCAACTCCTGCATCCTTTTTGATTTTCTCAATAAAAGTGTTGCGAGGTTGCTCAAGTGATCGTTTTCCTTCAATCATGCCCTCTAGTATTGTACTGTGTAGTTCTTTATGATGTCTTATGAATGTCCTATCTTTTTCTATCTTCTATCTTTCTCCCGAATCCATTAATGAACGTTCTTCGCCGACTATTTCCAGTGCATCATGGTTACTTTTTTTTTCCCATCCAGCTTATTTTTTGCATACAAAAAAAATCCAAATCTCAAACGATTCTAATATTTTTATTTCTGTTTCATTTATAGTCTATGTTTCACAGCCCTATAGGACTATACTCCAGACATATGTTTTAATGTGTCTTTTCCTAATGTCGATGTTCATCCTTTTGGCCGTAAATAGTTTGGATTTTTTACTGAACGCTGATTTTGCCATTCTTATGCGTCTTTTTATTTCTCTTGTGTCTTTCTCATCTGTTATAATCATACTACCTAAGTATGAGAATTCGTTTACTTGGTCAAGTTTATAGTTATCTTGATATATATCAGTAATTATGTTTTGGCGTTTTCTTGCACAAGTTAGTATCTTCGTATTTTTTTCATTGTTTCATTCTTAACGTCTGTGCTATTTCGTTGATAGCTCTCTGTAATCTTCTGCACTTTTAGTTAATATTATTATATCGTCAGCAAAGCGTATCATAGAAATATTTCGCTTCCGATTTTAATTTCAATTTGTTGTCTTATTAATTTTGATTTCACCATATTGATTATTTTTTCTGTATCTTCCTGTATTTTATTTCGTTTTCATTAAATATTAATGATTATACACACGCAGCAATTCAGTATTCGCATACATTTCACCTTCTCGGCCACATTTGTGCACATTGTCTTGGCTCGGGCAATAAAAATAATGTATACATACCGGTGTAGACATTGCACCCGCTCTTATCGCAGCCGTTTTTTATAATTTTTTTTTTTTCGTATGTTTTTTATTTTAAACGTGCGTTTCAAAACCACTGTTCATTGCGTACACACACACACGCACACGCACACACATATATACATACACGCACATTCACACGTCCGCGCGTGCGCACCGTCGGTGTATGTTCGCCAGTATTTATTAACCTCTTGTCCAAAGTCACCAAGTCTTAATTAACAATGTACACGCGTACTTGTACGGTCAATATCGCAATAACGGGTATCAGCTATTCCGCGCTTCGGACGTGCCGGGTCGTCCGGGTTCCCGCGGTTGTATTATTATTATTTTTGTACGGTCGTCATACGCACGAACGCATTGTTACGGTGGGCAGTGGCGACGCAGAAATATCAATATTTGTACGTTACACAGTAAATACGTGAACGGGACCGTGGGAGGTAACTAATAACGAATAGCACGTCGAATAAGCTCCAAAGTCTAAATCTCCCGAATCTTATCGATGTATCACAGGAATCGTACGTCGCACGGACTACGCGATTTTTAACGTGTGTGAAGTTAGCCCCCCCACTATAAAAAAAACTTTCCAAAATAATTGTAACCTTATTTTCTTAATTTGTAACTATTTGTAACCAAGTTTTTAGAATTTGTAACCTCATATTTTTCAAGCTACGGGTACTTTCTCAATGAGGGGCTAACTTCACGCAGCCCCCCCAATTCAACGAAATCGTCCAAAACAAATTGTAACTTATAAAGCCCAATTTGTAACTATTTGTAACCAACTTTTTAGAATTTGTAACCTCGGCCTTTCCGAGTAATAATAAATTTCTCATGAGGGGCTGGCCCCCCCCAATTCAACCGAATCGTCCAAAACAAGTTGTAACTTATAAAACTCAATTTGTAACTATTTGTAACCAACTTTTTGGAATTTGTAACCTCATCAATTTTTAGTACCGATGGATTTCCCAAAGAAGATAACTGAATAAAAAAAATAAGTTTTTAATTTATAATATTACCCAGTTCAATCAATTCGTCTAGAACAGATCGTAAGTCGAAGAAAATAAATCTATATTTAAGAAAAACAAAATCTAGAATGAATAAATGTCTTAATTAACTAGAATTTTACTTTTATTTTTATTTGATTAGGCTAAAATCTTAAATTAAAGATATTTTACAACATACTCAAATAATAAACGTATAAAATAAATTGTTACTTCTCGTAACTTATTATGAGAAGCCACTTCACATTCATTAAAATTCAATAGTATAAAATAAATTATTAAGTAGATTAATGTAAATATTTCTTTGTATTATTAAAATTATTTTTTAATATAAATATACACCTGTTAGAGCCTTACAAAAATAAATAAAAAAATTAATTTCGGGAAAAAAAATTAATTAAATTTTAAAACGCTTACAAATCTAATATACTTAATCTGATATTTTTACATAAAATAATAGATGTGATTTTACATATTTGGATTCTGTACACTTATATATTGTTCTTTTTTTCACCAAGTTATTATGTATTTCCCAATAATCTTTAACACGTTTGCAGTGTGTTACGTAGTGGCCCATGTTTTTTACATCTGAATCTCCAATGTATGAAATTATTGACTGTAGTGAAAACCTAAATAATAAATTATTTATAGTATTAGTATATAATAAATTACCTCCTAATATATATATATATATATGAATAGCTATTATTAGCATCTAAATATTTACCTTTCTTTTCCAACAAACAACTTTGATAGTATATCATTGACTAAGATTTTATTTTCATTTATCGTATTATCTTTAAATACGTCTGTTTCCAATAAAATATGTTCCTGCAATACTCTTATGGAATTTCTACTTTTTTATTTGCAGTTTGGACACCATTTTTCTTTTTTTTCCGTAATATATTTAATTAAATATTTATTTATATCTTCTAAGTGTCCACTACTATTGAACAATTCGTTGAGTATTATTGTTGCATCATAAAATACGGTTTTTGTATTACAAATGGTACATTCCAATGTTTATATACTGCTAGGTATATCAGAAAGAAGCTTGTTACTTAAAGATATAATATTGATATTTGCGTCCAACATTGAGGTTCCGGATTCTACTGGTGACTTTTTAAAAAATCCACTTTCTAGCAGCAAATTACCTCGTTGTTGATAAGTAATGCTTGTTGATCCATGAAGAGCTACATCTTTGCATAATCTTATAAAAGGATTCATTTTATTATTATCAATATATAACTTATAACTTTTGCTATCGATGTAACTTACTGTTATTGCTACTAAAAGCGAATCAAAAGCACACGTGTTAAATAATATCAGAATTTTTTCTTTATTTACTTTAACAGCGGGTAAAAGATTTCCGTTTAATATCACTGATAATGAAGTTGATCGTAATCCTGAAGTGTTTAGTACACGACGAATATCTGAACATGGACTTGTATATTTTGATAATCGTTTGGAATTTGTTATTTTTTTTTTAATTTTGATAGGTTGGTCTGCTTTATTTCTCCAATTTTCTTGTGTTCATCTGTTATCATTATATTTAAATCAGATTTATCTGAATTGATAGAAATATCATCATCACTATAAAATTCCGATTCAACATCATTACTTATATCACTATTTATATAAATTTCCTTATTTATTTCATTACCATATATCATATTAGTACTACTGTTGTTTGATTTAAAATCATTTTTCGATTTATAATCTTGAATTTTGTTAACTTGTAATGATCTGGCCATTTTTAATTCTCCTTCTATCGATAATAAATGTGAACCAACAAAACGGTCTATGGTGCTAAGTGATTGTCTCAATTCATTTTTGGAATGAGAAAAATATCCTTCGACTGGTGCTCAAGTGGCCGTTTCATACTTTGATTTATAGTATCTAGCCATTATGTTTGTCCAGGGAGGAAAATCTTTGGTAATCCGAAGAAGAGAAGCACAAAGCCAGGTAAAAAGTACCCGTTCAAACGATCACCACGTGTATCGGAGAGAACTGCTACACGTTCTTTAATACTTTTAATAAATGTATCCATATTATTTGAAATATTATTAAAACATTGAACATTATTTTGAATATCTTCATTTTCTTCAACTATTTCTTGGTCATCTGAAATTATATTTTCTTTGAAATCAACATTTTCGATTTGTTTTAAAATATTTTCTCTGAACTTTTCTGACGAAGTGTAATATTTTGTACCTTCTATATTACCATCAAATTATGAAGATGCAATTACTAAAATTTCAGTTAACATTGTTTTAAATTCATTAAGTGTTTTTGATTTTATAAGGAGAATTATGGCTCTGACGTAAAATTCTTTAATTTGTCCGTGACTTCTTACCTTAAAACACTTCCATCTACAAATCATTTTAATTAAATGGGCAATATCCAAACGCACATAAACATATAGTTTAGAATTTGAAACAATTACACTATCTTCTTCATCTTGAAGAATCTTCAAACTCATTTCACAATATTGTATCTTAGATAAACCATAACAGAAAGAACGTGTAACAGCTCCTATAAGTGCATTTGAATAATCAACCACAACTTCATATGGTGAAGTAGCACCAGCTCTTATCCATTGACTTAACCAATAAGTTATAGTTGCTAAATCTTGTACTTCTGAGAGCATTTGACACACTGGTACTTGAATAAATCCATCATTTAAAACTGCGACATATAAAAAAATATGTGATGATTGTAATTCCTGTGATGTTCTATATATATTTCTTACGACACTTCCTGTTGCATCAATACAAAGTCTACAATTACGCAATGAATTTGTTTTTGATTCCTTGTAAACAACCATCTGATACGGAGACCAATAATGGACGATTACTGGATCAATACTTATGTTATGAATTGATCCAGCATAAGGAACTGTATGTTTCATTTCCACTAAGGACAAAATTGGATTTTTTTTTACGATTTCTAAATTTTTATCTCGAAATTCTTGTTT